GATCTTAGCAGTGACCTGAGAGGTTCCCAGCTCTGCTTCCAGCTCCTCCAATCAGAGGCCAGCAGCTCGATGTTAGGCCAGGGCCCCTGGAAGGTCAAGACCCCTAGCAGCTTGGCACAGCACCAGCACTGGTGGCAGAGTTTCTGTCTACCATGTGGGAGATTTGAGTTCAAGTCCCATCGGGGGTGACTTGGGGTGAGTGAAGTAACAGGGAGAAATTCTTGTTGCAGTGGAAAGGGGTCATTGTGTTTTTCCCCCTTTCTCCCCCTCCAAGTACCTAGGCCCTATATTCCTTGTTATTTGACATTTTGTATTTTGTGCCTTTTTATATTTCACCAGCCAGTATTGTTTGTTCTGCCATTTGTGTTTTATATTTTGTTAACCCTGTCTTTTGTCAACTGGATGAATATGTCTATGATTCTAAGTGTCTAACCATTGTTGAATCCTGCCGCCTTGGAGCATTGTAGTGTCCCCTATACCACCTGGTTTATGTCTGTTATGTTCCCAGTACTGTTCTCTCATTAAAAGGTATATGGTTAAGTCCCCATTGGTGGTCTGGCTCTGCTCTATAGGGGGAGGAGAGTCCCTACACCTCCCACAGTGCTTGTGCACCTGCTCTGATCCCTTCAATTGGAGAGAGAGTACCTCTTGGAGTACCACCCGGGTTACAATGGTAATGTCCCTGTTTTCTTAAAGGGGTGATAAACACTGAGATAGGGGTGACACTGTTATTAGCTCCCCACCCCCAGCTTGCTTTCCTGTCAGTTTGCTGCACACAGTATACAGAAGCAGGGAGGAAGATTGAAAAGCTCCATATCATCAACAGATGCATGCACTGCACACACACCTTTTGCCTCAGTGCTGGCTGGGGGCTACAACACTCCCACCCCTTGAGCAGCAAGCTGAGAAAAGCCTGGGACTGCAAGCAGGCTGGGGGTTTCCACCCCTTCCCAAACAGAGCCTTCTGCTAGGACCTGGCCACACACCCTTAGCTCAGCTTTGCAAGGGAAGGGAGGACTGCTCTAGTGCCCCCTGGCTTCTAGCCTGAGCCACTGCAGGCATGTGCCTGAATTTCCTCAAGTCCAAAGGGATTGTCTGTATTGTTGGAAACCAGTTCAGCCTAGCCAGGTTAGACTAACCTGCAAAGGTTGAATCAATTAAGGCTCAGGTTTTTTGAATGTCTGTCCCTAGCCTCGGAGGGTGTTGAAGCACTGGAACAGGTTATCTAGAGAGGTGGTGGAAGTTTTTAATGACGGGCTCAACAAAGCCCTGGCTAGAATGATCTGTTTGGGGATAGTCCTGCTTTGAGCAGGGGGTTGGACTAGATGACCTCCTGAGGTCCCTTCCAACTCTCATTTTCTATGATTCTATTACTTTCTTCCCAATAAAGTCTAACTATGAATTTTGGGCTGCCACTGTGTATTTTATATTAGTATCAAAACCCAGAGCAAGAACCTTTATTTAGTTAATGGCAGAGCTATTTATTTCAAATATTTTAAAGCAGGAAAAAAGGACCAGATCCTGTTTGGTTAGTAAATTAGTCTATGACCTAGGCAACATTATTAAACCAGATGGTAAATATAAATTCATTATAATTCATTGTATAAAATATTCTATACTGTATATATCTATATAGTTGTATATAAATGCATGTGTATACACTGTCTTTATGCATCTCTATTTAATATACTGATTCTGTTCCAACTGAAGCCAATGGCTTCAGTGAAAAGATGATCAGCTGTATTTCTGATTTCAACCACAGCTGAAGAGACAATGACTCACAAAGCTGTGAAGATTCTGTTGTTAGGAAAGGAAGTGAACTGTTCCCTTGGTATTTTATACTTATGAGCCAACTGTGTAACAAAAAGAAAAAAAAACTTTAAAAGGAAAGGCATATAGCTCTTCTAAAATACAGTATCCTAAATTATTTGCCTCATCTGCATATTTAGTGACTTCCTTCCCCAAAATTATTTTTTATGTTAGAAGGATATATTTTAACATTAAAGTCTGAAAAAGCTAATATTTTAAATCTTCTTTGCCACTCTGCTATGTGTTTTGGATAAAAATATCTTGTAAATATGTGAGACCCTAATTATGCAAATGTATTTCAGCTTGGAGGACAGTTATGTTGAATTTTATTAATCACTCCAAGTGGCTGTTTGCCAGTTTTATGGTATTGATGGATAGTACTTCAAGAACATTTAATGTTTCACTGAGTCTCTCTAAGAGAGAACAGGATGTTATAACATCTTGCTCCCAACAGTTGTTTGGTTATTAAGTGAAAAATCCAAGAAAATGAAGGCTGTGTGCCATTATCTTAAGCCTGTCTTTGTCTGGTTGGCGCTTACTCTCTTTAGAGGCTGAGTTTAAAAAAAATAAAAAAATTCTTGATTTTTGTTTTTTGTTTGGATCTCTAGAAGTACCATCCCCATAGTGTGACCTCTTAGAAGACTTGACTCTGCCACTGACATAATTCTCAGTCTTTGCTGTACCATTTGATTTGTCCCCACATTGTTTTGTTATTAAAATACCATACAAGGGAGTTGGCAACCTTTTATCACCATGGCCTCCTGCTTGCTACCCAGTCCCTTCCTGCCATGGGCCACAAATCTCTGTAGCTCCCAGTGATCAGCAGATGTTGTGGAGGGGATACAGAATAAGGCAGGTGGTGGGATCCTGGAGACAGCTTCACTGGTACTTTGGCTGGAGCATGCTGCTGATTCCCTGAGCTTCCCTGGGCCAGATTCGTTTTGTCATGGGATGCATTGGTCTGTGGGCCATAGGTGTTAGCCTTTAAGCTAACCTGTTGAAGTCAATGAAATTACCTCAGTGTAAAGTTGATGTGAGAAGAATCAGATTGTGTGGTTTTAACCAGTATGCTCTTGATTTGACATAAAAATTAATCCTTGTTAACCATTTTTTATTTCAGTATACTTGGGAAAGAGCTTCAGTGTTATATTAATGATGCTGACATGCTGGTAATAAGAGAAATGTTTGAAAGAGATTGATGTTCACTCAGGCCCTTGGTATGTGTTATATTAATGGCTCAATTAGCACATTGGGCTGTTGGGTTCATGGCTTTGAACTTGCTGGTACAAGTGGAGTGCAAGATCATGATCTCAGGCTCCACATATGCTGGCAAGTGGAAAGGCTGCAAATGGGAGCTGAGGCCTAATCCCCCAAATCATACATCCTGGAATGCAGATGTGGCATGGGAAGTAGCATAATTGTTGGGATCTGAGATCAAATCTCATTGCACCATTATATTAACATTGCCAGGGAATTAATTGATAAACACTTTGGAAAGGACACAAGGTTTGTATATGAATTTTAATCACATAATTATATATGGTTGAAAAGAAAGAAATCTAGTTATAGTTTGTATGAAGTACTTTAGGCATGTGTTAATCAGGTAGGACCTGCACAGCATTTTGTCCTTAAAGAGGTAGAGCTGTCATATTTCAATTGTTCAAAGCTGCTCCAATATAGGATGTAATATTATCTGGAAAAAATATTGCTTAATTTTGCATTTTCTGCTAGGTTTATGATCTATTTTGTTGTACTTTTACTTGAAGCTGTTTAACAGATGAGGAATGCCAGAGAGTATTGAGTGAGAGCAGTAAATTAGGAAAGCCTCTCTAAACTTCATGCTGTCATTGAAAAAAAAGAGCAAAAAACCAAAAACCAAAACCCCAAACCACAGATATAGCTGTCCAATGGCCAAAGTTTTTAGGGTCAGAGCAAGCTCTACATGCCCTCTGACCTTCAGGAATCTTGTTAATGCAACCGACTTACAAAGGAGAAACAAAGAGCCCGTGCTGTCTCCTGGAAGCAAGCAGAGTCTGAAAAGAGTAGAAGTGTGTGCTCAAGAGTAAAATGTGCAGAGTTGTTAAAAACCAAAGCTAGAAATACAAATGAGCATTTTAAAAGGTCAAATTAAAAATCCACAAATGCATTTTGCTGAATTTCATAACTCTTTCTATAGGTAATTTCCCCTAGCTATCAGTTTTGTGGCTTTGGTATTTCAAACATAATGGGTCTGCCCCAAACTCCTTAAACTCAATGGAAATTATATTCCATAGGCTGAGGGGGGCTTTGGGAGCAAACACAATGCCTGTTATTTCTGATACCAATGGTGGGGGGGAACCTATTGCTCTGAGCTTTTTTTTCTGAGGAAGGAGGCATTTATTTAGATATAAATAAATATGATACAACTATCTCTCATGAGTACAATCAATGATACAACTGTGGCTTTTCTCTAAGTAGTTTCCCTTTAATCTTATTTATATTCAAAATTCCAAGACAATTTGGAGTTTACAAACTCTGTGTTGATGTTAAGCATTAATAAAATATTATAGATGTTATTAGTTTTAACGTTTTTTCAAGGTTGGGTTGCCCTTTGAAGGAGTTTAGCGTGATGCTGCTTATGTATATAAAGTCTATATTATATTTGCATTAAATTCTTGCAGCATTTTGGAAACATCTCACTCTTCAAAATGCCAAGTAATTTTTTGTAAATAGCTGCTTGTTTTAGCGGTATTGTTTTTCTTAACTCAAATATAATTTGTGACACTCAGCTGAATGCCATACACTTCAGAAGCACAGATTCATGGTACAATATGACTGATCATTCTTGATATGGTATCAACATTTCAAGTTTCTGCCATTTATAAGGAAAATCAAATACCACTTGAGATAAAAGTAAAACTATAGCATTGTATATATCTACAGTGAGGAGTGTGCCTAGATTTTAGTTAATATTACGCAGCACAGAGAAAACTATTTGAATAAAATGGAGTTCTTAAAACATGGTTCTCTTGGCAATAAAATAAAATAAAATAAATGAAATTTGGCTCCTTGACAGACTAGTAGAGAGATGCTTTGTGATGCATCAGATTGTACAAAATGTTTCAAATAAGTCCTGTGCTGTTCATTCACTGCTCTGCCGTTCATTTTAAGGAATGAATGCATTTCATTAAAGCTGTGTTCCTCATCAACAGGGCCAGTATTGTGCAGAAGCGAATTATTTATTTTCAAGATGAAGGCTCTCTTACCAAGAAACTATGTGAACAAGGTAAGATAAATTAGGACTGCTCTCTGTGGAGTGTTCTACAAACTACTACTTATCCACTATATAAAGTTTTAACTTCCAAGCCTTACTTTTAGGCCCTACAAAACTTATGGTATGAATGTGGCATCTCCTATCCAGTTATATCCTTACTCAACACTTAAGTCATCTTTCTTGTTACCCTTATCTCTTTCCTCTGCTGCCATCCCTGGAGTTTTTTTCCATGGTAACCTTTAAGAACATCCTATATGTGCAGTGAAATATCTATTGAAAAGAACTCAATTTTGTGATTCTTAGTATTTGAACATGAGGGCCCAGGCCGCCTTGAAAACCCTTGAATGAGGCATACTGATGTTTCATGCTGAGAGGAGGAAGTGGAAAGAGGAGGAATGATTATCTTTATGTTTTTGCATAAAGAAATTATTTCTCTCCATGGGAGGTTTGATTATAAAGAGAAGTTATAGATGTAACTGCTTTCCTTTGGTTCTTCTAGCATTTCTCATTCTTTTATATCTTCATGTTAGCTCCTTAGGGCAGGAATTGTCATGATAACTGTGCAGACTCTCAGGGGAGATTTGTCAAAAATACCTATGAGGGTTTAAGAGTATAAACTCCTGTTGAAAGTCAAGGGGATGTGTGCCTGAATCTCCAGGATATGTTAGAAAAGCCCACCCTCAGTACATAACAAATGGTCTATAAATAAAAGTGAAAGAAATCTGACAGGTGGCACTTCAACTCAAATTTTCTTGGCAAATGGTATTGCCACCTTTTCTTGTCCAGCTATGTTGAATTCAATTATAAATATTATAGATAGCTGTCTGCATTTAAACGGTGGTTTCATTTGTGGCGCTTTGGAATCAAAGGGGACTTATTACTCAGTAAAATTACATTCCCTTGACATTAGTATGCATGGGTTCTTTGGAATTTACTTCCAAACCCCATACTTTTACAAAAATATCCTTTACAGGGTAAGCTTTTCAGGTCCCTAAAAATAATAATTTCTTTGTGCAAAAATGCAGAGACAATAGTTATAAGCACTTCCATCCCCTGCCCTTTCTTCCAATTGAAATGCTTGAGCTGTGTCTAGTTCAATGGATGCTAAGGTGATGACCATTTATTTTTGGGGCCCAAACCTGGAATTAGCTTAATCTGGTCTTGAATATAATATTTGTAATAAACTGAATATGTGCTACTCATGTGCTTAATTGAATTTTAATAAACATGGTGTCCTTGATAGTAACCATGATTCACACATGCCATTGTATTGTACCATTTCATACATTGAGGAATGCACATTACACTCATTAAAACTAACCTTTCAAATTCAGTGTGGGGAATAGGTTGAATAAAGCCACTGGAGCAAGCAAAATAAACATATTTAAGACATCTGTTCACATTCCTAAAAAGAGAGAGGAATTAAATACAAATGAGAGAGCCACAGCCAAGAAGTTGGGAATTTGGAGTAAATTGAGGTCATGTCTCTGTTAGGAAAAGATTGTGTGTGTGTGTGTGTGTGTGTGTGTGTGTGTGTTTTAAACCATATAGCTAACATGTTTTTAAACATTAGTGACTTAATTAAAACATGTTAATTTGTCATAGTCAACAGTGAGGGAGTCTATGACTAGCAACCTATTTAAAAGTGTTAAACTTTGTCTACACAGTTGTTTACAATGTTAAGACATTTTAGCTGTCATACTGTCAAAACCACAGTTTCCTAGTCTAGAAATGGCCTAAATTTAGAGACAGTTTGCCAAGCCTGGCAGCAATTCTGTTTTGAATGTATTCATCTGTGCCAAAGGCAAAATGGTGTCTTGGGTGGTAGGGGAAAGTATAGAGGTGTAGTGCTGCAAAGCTTTATGCTTCAGGAAAACACAATGAATATTTCTACTGTAATTTGTGAGGTTGGCCCAGAAGATTGTCCTCAACCAGTCCAAGGTATATGAACAATTTCTCTCTACCAGCATCCTACTTTATGGCCAGCACTATACCTGTATAGCATACTTTTTATCCCTCAAGTAGAACCCTCCGAGGGATCCCATGTTTAAATTAGTTGGGTCTCTTTCTGTACTTGGCTCTAATTATGGGCAGAAGAGATGGGAAGTGGGGTGTTCCTGAAAGTCAGGAACAGAGACTTGCTGGCTGAGTTCTTCTACTTGAAGTGTGCTGTGCCTGGAAGAGGGTGAAATACACTTCAGAAACAAATGGAATGGGAATTGAGCAGGTTGCTGTCAACATTGTACCCTGAAATTCAGATAAACTGAGGCTGGGCTGGACTGTGTTTGGGACCTGAGTTTAGAGGTTGCAGTATGGATGATCACTGGATGTGGGCTTAAAGACAATCTTAAAGATCAGCCCTATGTAGCACCATAGCCAATGCCTCCTGCTTGAAGCCTGCTGTTGTAACTTTCCAAACCTTTATGAGAGAGTACGCCATGTGCTGCTTTCAGAGGAGATGGGTGCTATAGCTAGTATCATAGCAAGGGAGGGGCAAGTGAGGCAACTGCCCCAGGTGCCAAAGTGTAGGGACACCAACAGGCGCTGCCCAGCTGGAGTGTGGTGCAGGACGGAGCAGTGAGTGGCTCGTGGCAGGGCATGGGGACCCAGGGGGGGGGGTGGCTCCCACTGCTGCATGCACCCTGGGCAAGCATGGGGAGCGTGTGCCCCCTGAACCTGTGTGTGGGGTGAGGGCTTGCCCTGGGTGCCAAACTTCCTTGCTATGGCACTGGACATAGCCTTAGTTCCTCTCAGTCTCTAGTTTAGCACAACTATACTGACTAGCCAATTGCCCATCAAGAATGATGGGGGGTGGGGAGCAGGTGGGGATGGAGCCCCATGTCCCCCTGTCTGGGCCTGCTCCCTCCTTCCCTCCTGCTGCTTGGGGACTGGACCTGCTCCCCACCTCCCTGCCATAATGGGTCTGGGCCCAATGCAGGGAAGAACCAGGCCTGAGAGTGGAGAAAAGCCAGCCTGCTGTGGTGGGGGGCAGGGAGCAGTGGGCCCGGGCTGACCTGGCTGGGGGATGGGAGGGGGGGGTTTAGGGCTGACATGGGGGAAGAGAGGTGGGGGAGGAGTGAGCCTGGGCCTGAGTGGGGAAGGAGGCCTCCTCCCCCTGCTGCTGCCACTTAGGGCCAGGCTCGGCCCACTGCTCCCCCTGCACCGCCATGGTGGACTGGCTTCTCCCCTCCCCTTTTGGGCTCACTCCTCCTCTTCCTCACCCCCCTGAGTTGGGCCCGGGCCCACTCTTCCCCTCCCCCCCCCACTGTTGCATCAGCCCAGGTTGGTGCTGTGCTGGTCCTGCAGGCAGCAAGAATAGGAGGGGGAGGGGCGGGCCGAGGTCAGAGCCAGTGGCCTCACCCCTGCAGCATCCTGACCCCGCTCCCCCCTGTGCCACAACCACCACCTCCAAGGAGCAAGGTGGGGGGGGGGGCGGGATGAGGCCAGCTGTGGTGGCCTGCTCCTGTCCTGCTCCATCTTTGCCACCTGCAGGGATGCAGGGCAGGGGAGAGCAAGGCCAGCACTGCTGACCTTGCCATCTGCTCTGTTGCCACTGCCTCCAGGGAGCAGGACAGGGGGGAGGTAGTGGTGAGGCCAGCACAGTCTCATCCCATGATGGTGGAGACACAGGGGAGCACGTGATGGCGGGGACACAGGAGACAGAGTGGGGGGGCCAGGCCAGCACAGCTGGCCTTGTCCCTCCCTGCTCCATCCCCTGTGTCTCCACCATCATGGAGGTGCTCCACCAGGCCAACACTTTCTGCCTCAATGCTGTATTTGCATTCTGATTGGGTGTTTCACTCGCCCAATCAGAGCATGAATAAAGCATTATGGACAGCCAGATGGAGAGATTACGGCTTTTATAATTTTTGATTCTATAACAAGGCTTTTCCCCTGACTTCCTTTCCTGAGGTCACTCGCATGGCTCTTTACTCGCTTTAAATAGCTGACTAGGATAATTTGTTTGTATTGGCCTTATTTGTCATGAGCACATATTAATTCACTAAAGTAAACAGTGCTATTGTAACTGAAGTTAGAGGAGATAGTGTTTGGCTTTAGATCTGGATTTAAATTGTGGGGCTGAGGTTCATTTTCAAGAGTAAATCAGAGCACAGGTTTATGTTTGGGTTTGATACTGCCAGAATCTGGTGTTCTGTTCTTGTGATATTTCAACATTAGCAGACGGTTGATGTGATCTTTTGTGTTGGACATCTTGTGAGATTTTCACACATCAGATAAGAACCAGAAAAAAAGGCTCCAGTTTGGGATCTGAAACAGAACCAAAACTTTAGTGGCAGTGGGTTCATATCCAGGAGATATTCATATCCAAACTGACATCATTATCATTACTTTGATATTTCAAGGTTTCTGTTTTGGCCCATATCTAATTATAACCCAAAATTTAAAAAGCAAAACAAAACAAAAAAAATCCCTGGTGAGTTCTATTCAGCACTTGTATTTCTCTTCTTGAATTCTGCTGTCATCTGTACAGTTGTAACAAAACATTTTTAATAAATGCATCCATTGCTCCTTTTTCAGACTCAGCCTTTGAAGGCGTGACCGACAAACCAATCCTGGACTGCTGTGCCTGTGGAACTGCTAAATATAGGCTAACTTTTTATGGAAACTGGTCAGAGAAGACACACCCAAAAGATTTTCCAAGTGAGTATTATTAATTTATGATTACAATTAGCACCTAGGGGCCACCATAAAGAGTTTAGTTCCTTTTTAAAATTGTATTAAGTTTGCCCTTTAAAATCTGTCATAAGACTCTCAGTGACTTAATTGGGCATGGCACCAAGCTGCTAATGACATTATTTGCATGTATAATACATTGTATATACTGTCCTGTTTCTCTTTATCTTTTGGAAAGACAGACAAGTCTTGAAATGCAAGCTTTGTTTATCACTTACAGCAAGATTTTGAAAAATGTCTAAATGATAGAATCAGTGCTCCTGTAGCAACAAAGCATAAGTAGCTATAAAGATTAAAGTCCCCCCCCAGCCCCCAAACCCATTCAAATAGGCTTTTTGGGTTATGTTGGCCTCTTTCCCCCTTTTCTTTTCTATCTTTATATTTTTTTACTTAAATATTGGCTTCACAATCAGTGGCAGTAAGGCAGGTGAATAACTTTGGTATCTAAATCACACATTTATTTGGGCTTTAAGTTTTGATATTTGGGTTTTTTGTGATCTTTATTAAAGCCTTTGTGTGTAGATCATTTTTTAATACAACTGTCACCCAGTGTGGTGAAATGTCATCATGCAGTCAAAGGCTTGTCTGCATATGAATGAGTTCCTTGATACGGCTTATGCTGGTGCTGTCTTACAAAATAGAATAGCTCAAATATAGCATCTGTGAGTTAGTAAAAGAGTTTACAATGACATAATTAAATTGTGTTTGACTTTCTGGTTGGGCAGCAGAGTGCATGGAAGATAAAAAAAAAAGCTGTAATTCCAGTAATTGCAGTGATATTCTTTTAGGATATTAGATGATTTGTGCAACTGCTACATAGTTCTCTTCAAATTTATTCTTTGTGTGGATTTGACTGCTGCAACAGAATCATTTTAATAGATTAATCAAGTTATTTCTTTTCACTTCTGTGAATGTATTTAATTATGTGATCACTCTTTCTGATTTGTTTTATATAGTTGCCCTACATCTTTGTTTAACTTCTCTTCTTCCATTCTGAAATAATTTCTAGTTCTTTATCCTCTTTCTACAGTTTTCAGTCAGTAAACATCCATTACGCACTTCAAGCATGATGTGACTCGGCCATACTACATGCATCATTACTATAAAAGTGGATGGGTAGACCTAGATAAATATGGAAAAATATTCTATACATAGTTGCTAAAATTATAACATGAATAAGTTCTATTTGTACATCATTTTGTTTACTTATTTGTGTAGTTGAATTGTTCTGGCATATGTCCTTGAAAAAAAAAGTAAATGACAAATAAAAATTAATGAAAACTAAATTTTGTGGTAGAAATATGTGTAATCATGGAAGAAAATTAATACCATGGGACACATTACACTAGCCACAAAGCTTAGATTTTCACAGAGGAAGAAATATGGTATAATATTTTAAATAACAAATAACTGAGGAAACCCCAATCTTCTCACAGGTATGATAGAAGGAATTAAAATTTTTATTACAGTCAGCATGGAAACATGAAGTAGGGAAAATAAATTAAGCTTACAGAACTTCTGAAAGATCTGTAGCTCATATGGTAACACAAAATAAATCAGTGATTTATAATGATATGGGTAACAAAAGAGTCAGTAACGGAGCAGTCCCTTCATTTAGGAGGGAACAGTTGGCCCTGTTAGGAGAACCCAGGAGTGGGGCATCTGGGTAGGCAGGGAGTATCCCACTAGGAACTTAAAAAAACTCCCAGAAGACTAATCAAGGGAGGAAGAAGCAAACTGTGATGGGGTTAGATTCTCTGCTGGGGTTAGAGCCAAAGGGCTCCCCTCCTAATGCAAAGGCAACACAGAAGGATTTGCTTTTCTCTGTTTGTTTCTCTGTTGTTTTACTTGGAGAATTGGCTGAGAAACTTATCAGGGAGCAAAACCTACATAAGGAAGCCAGCAGGCTCGGCAATCCATTTACAGGACTATTTTCTGATATTGTCAAAATAATCTTTGCAATATAATTACTCCTGTGGTTCTTTTATTCTTCTTTCAGTTATGATGGTAGGTCCATGTGGTTAGATGATATCTTACATAAGGCTTTGGCTCAAACTAGGAGTGTGTAAACTCATGAAGGTGCAAACTAAATTGTTGGGTAGGTTTCGCACAGTAACAGGATTGTTGCACATAATGATATTTGGTTGTATAAAACCCCTCCTTAACTAATATCTAGTAAGAAGATGCTATTTATCAAAGCGTAAGAAAATCTATACTCTTTTGTTTGAGTCTTGTTTCCATTGAAACTAATTGGATTGTTGCTGCTGAGTTCAGTGGCAGAAGCATTAGACCCATGCAGAGCACCACGTAACAGATTTTCAGATGAAATTTCTGGAAGGCTGTTGTTGAAATTATTTCATCTGTATGTAGTGGTATTAAAACTGAAAAGAAATCATTGTCAAATTGCTGTTTAAAATATTGAGACCATGCAACTCTTAAATTAAAATTGAAATCCTACTCCCTGTGGATTCTATGAATCACTGATTATTTGTCATGCCGCGGCAGAAATGTTGAATATATCTCCAATGCAGTGGTTTCCATAAATACATTAGGGTTGTCCATGAAATTACATATTACCTCCAGCATTAATTGGAGTAGATTTCTCATATTGAGCTCCCATGAGGAATATTATCTTAAAATGTTTAATTGAAATCCTACTCCCTGTGGATTCTATGAATCACTGATTATTTGTCATGCCGCGGCAGAAATGTTGAATATATCTCCAATGCAGTGGTTTCCATAAATACATTAGGGTTGTCCATGAAATTACATATTACCTCCAGCATTAATTGGAGTAGATTTCTCATATTGAGCTCCCATGAGGAATATTATCTTAAGATGTTTACCCCCTGCCACTTATTCATTTACAGTAGAATTACAGACAGAGAATGCTGTTTCTAATTCTTTATAGTTCTAACTTTTGCAGGAAAAAATACATGAGTAAATTTAGAAACAGAAGTGGGCTTGTATAGGATTTCTGACACTAAAACCTGAAGAGCTAAGTTTCCCCTTTGCCCCGATGACATCAATATAGCTAATATAGAAAATCAACATATACATAGTAATATTTCTCATTTGTTTATCCATGTAACTTATTTGAACATTTTCCTGAATAGTCTCCACATAGTGTGGGCATCAGCATTGATGTTTCTTTCCAGCTCTACTCTTTCAGAGTAACCAAGCAGCAGTACAAAAAGCGTCACATAAAATTGTGACTTTAGAAAAAATAATTAACCCAGTCCTAGATGCCATTACAACATCTAGTGTATTTTTTCCTGGGTATACAAGAGCTTGCATGTAAGACCATATTTTAGGGGTTTGGGAAGGAGCCTGACGAAGGGTTTTTGAACCCGAAAGCTTGCTTAATAACTATTCTCCAACCATTTGGGTTGGTCTAATAAAAGATATCAAATTCACCCAAGGAACCTTGTCTGCCTAGACCCTATTTTATACATTTATGTTGTCACATGTGGTACTGAAAATTTTCCCCTAAGGACTGCTTATGCCAAATAAATATTGTTTTTATGATAAAAAGTTACAGCAAGAAATCTGATAAAACCTCATGTTCCAAGTTTACAAGTACCTTCCTGTGATAGGCTTATAATAAGGAATGATTTAATAGTCATTATAGCAGTGGAGCTGAAGCAGCTTTATTCTGTTAAATTTTAAAATGGATCATACACATAGGCTCTAGCAGACCTGCTGAGTCCATATAGCAGTGCTCAGGATGCAGTTGCTTCATCATAAATCTTGTTTTGTAAGGTGTCAACTGACTGTACAGTGGAGGAAGAGAGGCTCACCAGTGGGGGAGTTTGAAAAGTTTCCAAAATGATCTCTTTTAAAGTGTTTTTTCTTTCACAAATATCTAAGACCAAGATTTTAATTAAGCTGCTGTTAGACTTGTGAACTTGGATGGATTTAAAAGACGAGAAATAACATGTTTTCTTGCCAGACAAATTTCCAGGAGCTATTACTGTTCAAGATAAAAGGACCACTGGAAGCTGAGTATTGTATCTATACTGCATCAGACTTATTGAAATAGAGCTATTACAGTTCCTTTCACATTTTTCTGGCCAGTGTTAGTGTTTGCATATGTCCTGTGGCTTATAAGCAGTTTCTGTTTTCTGGCTAGTGTCCACATATCATGTAAAATGGAAAACATTCAGGGCTTAAATCATTATTTCACCTGCCCAACTTAACAAGTGTTACATTTCCTGATACTTTTATTTGTCAACAAAAATCTTCAGTTAAATTTGTCAGTGGTGGAACTGCATATACCAGTGCTCAACGCCAGGTCCATGGGTCAGATCCATCCTATGGCCTTGTGTCATCTGGCCTGCAGGGCTCTCCATGGGTCTGGAAATTTGGCAGTTGGAGAGTGGTGACATCACTCCCCCACTGCCAAATTTCTGGACACATAGATTCATAGATGTTAGGGTCGGAAGGGACCTCAATAGATCATCGAGTCCGACCCCCTGCATAGG